CCTCCGCACGCTCCTGGGCGAGGTGGGCCATCGGGCCCCGTATTGTCGATCCGTGGGCGATTGGGGGTCAATGCACTGCCCCCACGAGCCCACTGTAGTGGTCCGTTCGACTTGCAACAGGTGCAACGGTGGTTGCAACCCACTTGCAAGACGCCTGCAAGTGGGTTGCAAGTCCGCCTACCCGCTTTGAGTCTGGGTAAGCCTCAGACCCACCTTGGAGCCCCTGGGCGGACTTGCAACCCAAGTGCGAGTGCCTTGCAAGTGGGTTGAAACCACCTCGTAACTGTTGCAGGCGGCAGCGATCACTGCAGCATCCCCCCCGGACGCTGCCCCGCAAGGAAGCGTCCCCGAGGGGAGGCCCCAGGAGTGCCGGAGGGTGCGGTCGCAGCTCCCCCTCCGAGCGGTGAGCGACTGCGGGGTCGGGCACGGCCCACGGCAACGGAGCTGCCGGCCTCCCCCGCGAAGGGGAGGGGGGCGCCCCGCCGTGCTGAGCGCGGGCCAGGGGGGAGGGGAGGGAGGGACGGGGGGAAGGGTAGGGGGGGAGGGAGGGGGGAGGGGCAAGGGGGGGGGCAAGCTAGGCGCGCTGGCGTCACATCTGACGTCCTACCCCTCTCTCCCATCCCTTCCCATGGCGTCGATCGCCTATCTATTCGCACAGTCGGATGTCGAGAAGGGCCATGATCCCAAGAGGGTACGCGATGGACGGAAAAGCATGGCGTAGAAGAGAACGGCAGACCATGGCATATAATAGCATGGCGTGGCATGGCGTAGCGAACAAGTACTTCACAAAGCATAGCAATGCAAAGCATGGCATCGCACAGCGGAGCACAACACAGCATCACATTGCATGCCATGGCATGGCACTGGATGACTTGGAGGATACGTGGCCCGTCAACGAAAGGACAGTGCCTGTCAGGAATGCTGGCTCCATGTCCTCCGCAACGGTGCCTGCCCAATGTGGGCGCTTTCGAATACCAAGTGCCGTCCGGTAGGGGTACTGTAATTCCACCAACCCTCTAGGGCGTAAGGCGGTCTAGAGCGTTTCCTCTTCCAACCCCCTTCTTCCCCTGCGGGGAAGGGTTTACCTCTCCCCTACCACCTCCCCTGGACCTGGACGGGGCCGGTCGCGAGCGGTCAGGGTGTACAAAACGGCCTCGGCGAGGAAGCCAAAATCACTGGTTTTACTTAGGTTTGGACCTCATTTGGGCCTCTTGGGGGGGCAACCGTAATTGGGGAACCCCCCTTCTTTGATCGATGTCCTCCAAGATGGCCCCAAGAAGCTCCAAGGGGGCCCCAAGAGGCCCCAAGATGGCCCCAAGATGGCCCCAAGATGGCCCCAAGAGGCCCCCAAGAGGCCCCCAGGAGGCCCCCAAGAGGACCCCAAGCAGCCCCAAGAGGCCCCCCCGAAGCACCCAAGACACCCAAGAGCCCCCCAGGACCGCCAAGGGACCCCCAAGACGTCACAAGAGGCCACCAAGAAGCGCCCAAGAGATATCCCGAGATGCTCCGATAGGCATCCAATCGGGCGAAGAGAACTATGCACATGCGCCGATCCTGGCAAGGCCCATCCTTGTCACAGGATCGGTGCATATGCCTTCCTGGTCAAGGTAGGAGGGCGTATGCACCGATCCTGGGCCCAGGATGGGCCTGGCCAGAATCGGTGTATGTGCATAGTTCTTGTTCGTCTAATCCAAGAGACCTCTGGCCCTTTTGTTTGCCCTCCTCCTCCTCCTGCTGATCCTTCCTCCTCCTAGTCCTTCTCTTCCTCCTCACCCTCCTCCTCCTCCTCCTCGTCCTCCACCTCCTCCTCCTGCTCCTCCTCCTCATCATCATCATCATCATCATCATCATCATCATCATCATCAGCATCACCATCACCACCATCATCATCATCACCATCATCATGATCATCATCATCATCATCATCATCATCATCATCATCATCATCATCATCATCATCATGATGATGATCATCATCATCATCACCATCATCATCATCATCATCATATCATCATCATAATCATCAGCATCATCATCATCATCATCATCATCATCATCATCATCATCATCCTTATCATCATCATCATCATCATCATCATCATCATCATCATCATCATCATCATCATCATCGTCGTCGTCGTCGTCGTCGTCGTCATCATCATCATCATCATATCCATCCGCCCCCCCCACTCCCTCATCCATCCAACCTCCTCCTTCTCCTCCTCCCTCCTTCGCACGGTTCGGCCGTCCCCATCTTTGCTCCCGCACTTCCCTGATCACCTCAACTCGCCTAGACATCGTTTCTGGACGGGCTGGTGGGGATAGTTTTTGCTCGCGAGCGACGCAGGCAAGTGCGCGCCGTCAAAGAAGTCGCGAAGCGGAAAAAAGGGCCGGGCCACTACGCGGGCAGCGCAAGTGGGGCGAAGACAGAAAGAGGCGGAAGAGAAGAACAAGCGGAGACGGAGGCAAGCGAAGCGAAGAGGCAGCCGAGGACATCGCAGTCGCGGTTTCGACCAGATGTCATCCAGATTCCGACCACTCATGCTCAGCCTTTCGTCCACATATTTGCCAGCGTGTACTTCGCGGCGCAATACACGTGGAGCAATATCTGTGGTGGTTGTTTGTATATACATACATACATACATACATACATACATACATGCATGCATGCATGCATACATACATACATACTGATTTACTCACTTATTTATATGTATATGCATACATACATACACACATACATACATACATACATGCATGCATGCATGCATGCATGCATACATACATACATACCTGTATACATGCATACATTCATACGTACATGCATGCATGCATACCTACACATATACAGTCATGCATGCATGCATACATACATGCATACATGCAGACATGCATATATGCATATATGCATACATAAATGCATACACACATAGATACATACATACATATATACCTACATTATACAAGCATGTATGCATGCATACATACATGCCGAAACACAGACCGATCTACATATACACATACAAACATGCCTACATACATACATAAACACATACATACATGCATGCATGCATGCATGCATACATGCATACATAAACACATACATGCATGCATGCATGCATGCATGCATACATGCATACATGCGTACACACATGCACATATACGTACATGTATGTACACATACATACATCACATATACGTACATGTGCGTACATGCGTACACACATGCACATATACGTACGTATGCACATATGTACATGCACTATACATATACATATACGTGTGTGGTGTAGGCGACGTGGCGAAATATACGTGGTGCAATTCCCCCGCCGAACTTGAAATTGTCAACTCCACTGCTCGCGCAACCATCCCACCCCCCCACCCGCAGCTTGGTTTGCAAACCAATGCGGCGGCGATTGCGATGACTGCTTGGCGCTGGCTGGCGCGCCGCTGCGGCCGCGCTAGCGCGCGCAGGCTCACTCACAGAGCGGCCAACTTGTCTGACGCGGCCAACGCGGCCGCGGTAGCGTTGACCGCCCAGGATCCCCCGCGCGTCTCGCAGGCCGCGCTGACGCGCGGGCACTTCAGTGCAACTCGGTGACTCAGGCGGGCGCAGTATCATGGCGACGTCGACAGCGACTGACACGATGATTGTACCGATGCTGGCGGACGACGGTAAGGCCAATGACGGCGCCGGTGCTGATCACGCCGATGACGATGGTGCCCACGCGTCGGTGAAGATTGAGAAGGATTTCGACATGCACGCGCGGCCGACGGGCGCGCATGGCTCGCATGGTATTATTTGCCAGGGATCGTGCCCCCCCAGCACGCGCGCAGGGGCGTTCGAATGATGTCGACATGCGCGCTCGAGAGGCCCAGCCCGTTCGGTCGCATTGAATGAGAATGTTGAATAAGAAAAAACCTACGGATGTCTTCTGGAGTCGCAAGAGCGCGCGCGCAGACATTATTCTTCAACGTCATGTTGCAAAGCAATGTTTTTTCACAACCACCCTGTGGTGTGGGGCCTTTTGAAGAGACAGCGCCCCGAATCCCTCCCACCTCCTCCTCCTCCTCCCACTCCTCCTCCCTCCTTCCATCTCTGCCTCTGCCCGCCTCGAGCGTCTGCGACGCAAAGTGCGTGACAAGATGTCGGGTGCGCAAGGCCAAACATGGCCTCGCGCCGCACAACCAGGGATCGCTTCCGCTCCGGACTCGAGATGAAGTCGAGAGGCAGTAGGTAGACTAGACTCAGGGGACACCCCGGGGGATGGGGTGGGCAATGCCTCGAGCCCTCCCAGGCCCGATCGGTCCCAGCCTGGCCATTGTGGACATCATGTCGGAGGGGGACCTGCAGCTGTTCGGGGCGCCCCAGGAGAGCAGCAGGGCCCGGGCTCCCAGGCCCAACCCAGGCATCCCCCTTCCTCGGGAAGCAGCAGTCCCCGGGCTCCCAGAACGCCCAGGACCCGACACCTCGAGCTCCCAAGTCACGCCCTCTCCCCAGGCAAGCAGCAGGCCCTGGGATCTCCGACCTCCTCCTGGACCATCAGCTCGCTGCGCAGCCCCTATGGCCCAACTGCCAGCCTCACCCCCATACCCCACTCGACAGTGCCCCCCAGCGCCAGCGCGGGTAAGCGGGCAGAGGCCTCCGAGATCGCCGCCTTGCTGTCAGTGAACAAGTTCAGCACGTCCTTAACCAGGCGAGTGAGCCCTGGATGCCCCCTATCCGCTCCAGGATCCCTCCCCCACCAAAGAAGCCATGTGAGCCGGGCTGCGCTTACATAATCGTTTGTGCCATTCCGAACCATTCTCTGTTCCCGTTTGTCCTGTTGATGGATTGTGTTTGTTCGTTTATTCCGTCCCCCCACCACCACCCTCGCATCCCTCGCTGCCCCCGCCGCCCCCACAACCACCGCCTCCCCGAATCATGTCGGCTCCTCCAGTGCCGACCCTGCCCCGACGACCACCCCCACCCACCGCCTTTCGCCCATTTCATACCTGATACCGGTGCCATCCTCCCTCCTCCTTTCCTCTGAGCATCCTTCAACCGATCCCCATCCCCAGTAACGTGGCCTGGGCCCCACTGGCCGATTGACCCCCCTAGATGGGGATATAGGCTGTTTCCGTCGGGTTTCGAGGGGCATGTCCCCAACTGGGGGGGGGCATGGTGGGGCAGAGATACTGTGGCCCGTCGGGGATGGGGACATATCAAACGATGCTGAATGAGGAACGACGACAAGAAGGCCAGGATCCATCGCTCAGTCGCTGATTCGCTCTCCGACTCCCACTTCACCTCGCGCCTCTTCATCATTTTCGAACCTTCACGGCTGTTGCTGTCTGATGATCGACCTGGCAGCGGCGACCGGCGCAGCCCCGTACATCCACAGTGATGCGCTGCAGCGGTCGCGCAACATTGCTCGCGAGGGTGCTGCCAGAGTGCTTCGGGATCTGGAGGCCGAGTCGACGCAAGGATGACAGATACAACTCGAATGCCCGCCCGCAACCCAACTGCAAAAGAAAGAACCGACTTCGCAGACCACAGCACTTGCGACTAAGACTGCGACTGCGGCTACGACTGCGATCACGTGACTACGTCTGCAGCTCCGGCACGGACAACACCGACGATCGAAGCCATGACTGCGATTGGCAGCAAAAGTTCGACGAAGGCCAACGACCACAGGGAAATCAACTACAACTCCAAGAACGCCAACGGTACAGATGTGAATGACAATGCCGACTGCGGGGGCCACGTCTACGGGAACGTATCCCCGAGCAGCGAGGGGGAGCGCTGGCGCCGGCTGCAACGATCACGGAGACTGCGATAACAAGGGCGTTGACTGGGACACAACGAAGCTATCCGAGGAATTACTTCTGGTGCCCCAGTAGGCTGTGCGAAAGGCGGCCAATCGGGTGTTTTTCTCGATGTCGTCCTTGCTCAAGCCATCGATGGCGTCTTTGGTGCGCAAGGTCTTGCACGCCTAAGCTGATGGTGAGAGTTGGGTGGTGATTGGCCGTGCCGAGCACCTTCAGGATCACGTCGGTGCCCAGCTCGCGGCACGCGAAGGGCTCCACGTCAAGTGGAGCAAGGCCCAGCCCATCAACTTCCCCCCTGGTGTCCACCACGACGGTGACCGAGGGGGGGGATGAATGCAACATGGCTCACTCCATCATCAATCCACTTTTGCCGGCATGTATCCTCCTGCATGGGAAGACAGGCGCCATCTCTCGGAAGTTCTTGAAGATCCGCTTCCTGATCACAGCCGTCGCTCTGCTTGCCAGGGCCCTTGCCGCCCACTGCTATATCAGCGCTCCTCTCGAGACAAACATTATCGCCAACAGTGTCAGAAAGTGGCCACCCTTTTGCCGGGAAACGCGCGTGGATAACTCCCCATACTGCGAAGACAAATGTTAGAAAACAATGAGAAAAGAAACAGCATCCAAATTTTCTGACGACATCGCAACAGTAGCACACCCTCTTTCTCGGGCAAAGCATCTGGAGACACTGGAAATGTTTCTGACCAACCAAGAGGAAGCAAACTGTCTCGAAATGGAATGCCCACGCACTGCGAAGCCGAAGGATCATCACATCTAACCTGTTCCAAGCCATCTCTCTCCATCACGACATTCCCACGATTGCCAGTTGCATCAGCAGCCCCGGTTCCTGAAATGGATGGTTGTGTGGCGCGTGATCAAAGGCGTCTTGTGGAACAATAGACACATAACACCGAGAGAGCAATTTCGATGGCCACTGGAGTGAAAATGTACCTGTTGGGAGACCTTGACACCGACCCTCTATGAAAAAATCTCCTGAGGCCTCCTTGAAACCCACACCCACCTTTACCCCCCCAACCCTGACCGGCTCAACCCCCCGCCTGGGAACCCAGACACCTGGACCTCCCCCCCACCCCCAGAGGTAACGGGGAGGGTTGAACCCCCCCACACAGACACGCCGTTTCCATGGGAGGGGCGGGTTCGACCCACCCCAAAAAAACTGCTGGCAAACAACGGCGGCGAGCACTGACGCTAAAACACGACGACGACGACGACGACGACGACGAAGGACAACGGACGACGGACGACGGACGACAGAAACGACGACGGCGGAGACGACCACAAAGACGACATCGATGTCGACGTCGACGACGAAGGCGACGACGACGACGACGACGACGACGACGACGACGACATCGACGACGACGACGACGACGACGACGACCACGACGACGACGACGACGACGATGACGACGGCGACGGACGACGGCGACGACGACGACGACGACGGACGACGACGACGACGACGGCGACGACGACCACGGCAACGACGACGGACGACGGACGACGGACGACGGACCTCTAACGACTGACGACGACGACGACGAACGACGAACGACTGACCGACGGACGACGGACGGACGGTTGACGACGAAGACCACGGACGACAACGACGACGACGACGACGACGACGACCACGACGACGGCGACGACGACAACGACGGACGACGGACGGCGGACGACGGACCACACACGACTGACGACGACGACGACGACGACGAACGACGAACGACGAACGACGAACGACGACGACTGACGACGGACACAGCAACGGACGACGAATGACGACGATGACGCTGGACGCCAGACGACGAACGACGACGAGGACGACGACGACGCCGCCGCCGCCGCCGACGACGACGACGGACGACGACGACGAAAACGACGACGACGACGACGACGACGACGACGACGACGACGACGACGACGGCGCAACGGCGACGAACGACCCGAACAATGATACGACGCCCAAAACCCGCGGTAATAACGCGAGCCCTGCTAGGCACGCATGTGACTTACGACTCCAGACTCCTGCGCACTCCAAAACATGGCAGCCATCGTGCTTACACCCTACTTCTTACGCTCCCCAGACAATCACAAGCAAGTCGGGAGGACAAGGATACAGCAGGGGCACTGCACAAAAACAAGATTCGGCGATATTCGAAATACTAGTTACGCTGGCTTCCCAATTGATGGGAAGCGGGCGCCTGAGCGCTAAAGCTGGCCACGGTTGAAGAGAAGCGAGGGGGAGGACTGGGAGGGGGGCACCAACCGTCGCTTATGAGTGCCGAGCGCCTCGGCGCGGTAGCGCGCGCGGCCAAAACAGGGAAGACGCGATGGCAGCGAGGACGCGCCCGCCCTGACGGCGCGAACGCCGCCACACCCGCAAAACACGGTGCCCTGCAGACGAGGGCGCCAGTCGGCCGCGAAGACATTAGGCCGGCGCGCGGAGAAACACAGAGGAAGAGGGGGAGGGGGGGGGGGAAGAACGGGCCGGCGGGGGCGGGGGAAGGGCGGTCGTCACGTCGTCTCGCGTCAAGCAGGGGCCGCCGATGCCGTCGCCGCCGCCGCCGGGGCCGCCACTGCAGGTTTGGCCCAGGATACCACCAGGGTGCCCGCGCCCCTCGGCCGCGGCAGCTCCCGACGACCACGTCGTCCTCGCTGACGGCCAGCGAAGTGCACGCACGCACTCGTCGCCCGCTCCCGCTGCCATAGGCGCTACGATTCCCACGAAAGTGCCGCCAGGCGCTTGGACGGATCTGGGACGCCAATCAAAACGTCCGCACGGAGGATACTGGGCGTGAGCTCGCGAGGCCTACCAGCTCGAGGTTCGCGCTGCCATCTGCAGCGCTGGCGAATGCAAATTCGTCGACAATACTGGATTATGTCTGGCGCAAAGGAGCCCGTGGCTGCCAGATGGACCAATGTTGAACTCACTCACTCACCACAATTGGTGCACACCACCTCCTCGTCGGACCCCCGCGCGCCGAGGCGGTCGCGGACGGCGAGGGCGAACTCGTCGCTGGTCATGACCCGTCCTCTGTGCGGACATACGGCCGACAGGCAGTCGTGGCATGGGCTCGGGTGGCAGAGTTCCTGGAGGCGGTGCCTTGCGTTGGTGTCCACGCTCGCTCGCGCCGGGGAAAGGAGTCCAGTGGCCACTGTGCGGTTTGCCACCCTGGTGAGGCCACGCTGGGGGCGCAGTGCACCGTGGCACTGAAGGTCGGCCGGGTGCTCGGGGTCCTCCGCGCCCGCCTCTGCCACCGCCGCCGCTCCAGGCTTGAGACGGCAGCGCACCATCCAGCTCCTAGATTTTCCTCCCCCTCCTAACCAGCGCACCAGTTCCGCAAGCGACGCTCAGCCAGAGCTGCTTGTTCCTCTACGTGGATGCGAACGGCGTCGTGGATGCCCTCTGGGAGGGTGTGCCGCCATCTGTGCGCCGCAGTGCGCGCGCGCCTGTCGTACTCTCGCACGCACCTGGCGCAGGACCCCAACCCTTCCTCCTCTTCGTCCACGTGAGCGCACAAGGCTGCGACGAGCGGCCGCGAAACGACCCGGCTCGCAATGAACGCGGGCAGCGCACACCCGGACGCCTCCCAGAGCTCAAGTCCGCCAGCGCACACAGAGAGAATGGCCTGAACCGTTCTACCCATCCCTCGTCCAAGAGCTTACTACAGCAGCGACGACGACGACGACGACGACGACGACGGACAAGGACGACGACAAGGACGAGGACCAACATGACGACGACGACGACCACGACGACAACGACGACAACGACGACGACGACGACGACAAACGACGACCGACGGAAGATGGACGACGGACGACGATTACGGACAACGGACGACGGACGACGGACGACAGATGACAGACGACGACAAAGACGACGCCGACGACGAGAACCACGACGACCGACGAACGACGAACGACGAACGACGACAACGACGACGAACGATAAACGAAAAACGACGCCCGACAACAACGACGACGACGACAACGACGAACGACGAATGAAGACGTCGACGTCGACGGCGACGACGGACGACGGACGACGGACGACGGACGACGACGACGACGCGGCCAACGACGAAGGCGACGAAGACGACGGGCGCCGAACGCCGAACGACGACGACGACGACGACAACGTTGACTGACGACGGACGACAGACAACAGACGACTGACGACTGACGATTGACGACGACGACGTGCAGGCGGACCCTAATGGGCGGGTCGGGTCGGGCGGGTGGACCCTGACAGGCGGGTCGGGCTGGGCGGGCGTGACATACAATATAATGACTACTTGAACTGGCGCGTAGCATCCGGAACATGCGGGTCGGAGCGGGCGGGCGGACACTAACGGCCCAAGTAGTTCGGGATAGCGGGACGTTTCAGCATGATTCATAATGTAGTTGGCACGTGAGAGCCCTAGCGGGCGGGACGGGTCGGAACGGCGGGTCGGGTCGGGACGGCGGGGTGTCAAAGTGGCTCACAGCGGAACTGGCACGTGAGAACCCTGGCGGGCGGGCCGGGTCGGCCACGGGTCGGGCTGGGCGGGTGGGGCATTCAAATGTGCCTCGCCGAAGAACCGGCACGCAAAGAGCCTCACGGGCGGGCCGCGTCGGGCGGACGGGGCCTCACGGGCGGGTCGGGTCGTGCGGGCGGGGCATTCAAGTCTGCCTCGCCGAAGAACGGGCACGCAAAAAGCCTCACGGGCGGGCTGGGTCGGGCAGGCGGGCCCTCAGCGGGTCGGGTCGAGCGGGCGGGACGTCAAAGTACGATGCGCGCTTCAGTTCGCACAGAAGAACCCCAGCGGGCGCGGGTCGATGCGGGCCGTCACGGGCGGGACTCGAAGGTGTGATGCGTAATTCTGCTTACACGTGAAAAACCTAGCGGGCGGGTCGAGTCGGGCGGGCGATCCCTGACAGACGAGTCAGGTCGTGTCGGGCGGGAGTTGGAAATATGGTGCGTGATCCGGCTGGCACGGGAGAACCTTTCAACATGCCGCTCGGGTCGGAAAGACGGGCCCCAACAGGCGGGTCGGGTCGGGCGGGCGGGACATCAGAATCGTCGTCGTCGTCGCCGCGTTTTTCGTCGGTGGTCCCCGTCAACGTCGACGTCGTCAAGGTCGGGGAAAGGGTCGGGCCTTCCCGGGACGCCGTGAAAAAACAAAAGGAACGCATCGCACGTCTGGGCTCCGCCCCGCCGCGAGGGGTTGCCCAGAGCGGGCCCGCCCCCGCGGGGGCCGGGCGGCCAAGCCCTGCCCCAGGCGACGCTCCTTGGTGGTGAGGGTCGCGAAGCTGACGGCGTCCGCCCCCCGGGCAAGCGGCAGCCTCTTGCCCTGGCGCGCGGCGGAGGGAGGGGAGGAGAGGGGGAGGGGACAGGGCGGAAGAGGCGAGGAGGGGCGGGGAAGGGGCAGGGTCGGGCAGGGCGGGGCGAAACGGGACGGGGGCGGGGGCGTGGGCGTGGACACAAAAGGTGGGCATGGACGTGGGCATGGACGCAGACGCAGAGGCGGCGGTTGAGGCGGAAGTGGGAAGCGGAACCAGCCGTGGGGGTGATAGGTAGACGTGGACGTGGGGGGGGAGGTGAACGTGGATGTGGAGATGAAGGTGGTGGATGGAGGTGAAGATGGAAATGGAGGTGGAGGGGGTGGACGTGGACATGGGCGTGAGATGTAGTGGACATGGGCGTGGACGTGGAGGCGGGCGTGGGCGTAGTGGAAGTGGAGGTGGGTGCGGAAGTGGAGGCGCATGTTTCGCTGATGACGGCAACGATGAAACGTGATCATGTGAGAGGGCGCTCATCCAAAGCAGGACCCGAGAAAAAGCAAAGAAAACGTATCCTTCACCAGCCAACATGCAGAGAGGCGGGCCCGCGCATTGAACCTTGGCTCAAAGGAAAGCAGGCGAATGCGGCGTGAGCACATAGATCAACCTCAAATGCGGCCGAGATGAGGAGGGAGCAGGAAGGAACAAGCAGGGCGAGAGAGACACTGACAAACAAACATACAGACAGACAGGCAGACGGACAGACACAGACACAGACACAGACACACACTCACACACACACACAGACACAGGCACGGACACAAACGCAGACTCAAACACAGACGCAGACACAGACACAGACACAGACACAGACGCAGACAGACAGACAGGAAAACAGACGGGCAGACAGGCAGACAGGCAGACTGAGACAGACAGACGGACAGGCAGACAAACAGACAGACAAACAATCACGCAGGCCAGCCAGCCAGCCAGCCAGCCGGCAAGCCAGCCAACCAGACAGACAGACAGACAGACAGACAGACAGACAGGGAGAGGGAGAGGGAGAGGGAGAGGACAAGCTAGGTGAGCTCGCGTCATATCTGACATCCTACCCCTCCCTCCAATCCCTTACCATGGCGCAGATCCCCTCTCTACTCGCACAGTCGGATGTCGAGCAGGGCAATGATCCCGAAAGGGTACGCGATGCATTGTAGAGACGGCATGGCATGGCGTAGAAGAGCACCGCAAAGCGTAGTATCAACCTAGCATTGCATTGCATTGCATGCCGTGGCATGGCACGGGAAATGACGCCAGCGCTGCAGCGGGAGCACGAGTCGAAACGAGCGGAAGCGCGGAAATGAGGCCAGCGCTGCAGCGGGAGCACGATTCGGAACGAGCGGAAGCACGGAAATGAGGCCAGCGCTGCAGCGGACGCACGATTCGGAACGAGCGGGGCCCGAAAATGAGGCCGGCGCCTCGGCGAGAGCAGCATTTTGAAAAAAAATGCAGGCGAACACCCAACTCCGGGGAAACCTGTGTAAAAAACAAGACGCGGGGGGGGGAGTCGGACACTTTCAAACCGTCATCAGGGGAAGGAGGAGAGTAGTATTCATATTGAGTACTTGTAAAGGGTGTCAGAAGGAGAGAATTGCACAGGAGGCCTCCACACGAGGCGCACTGCGCCGCTCGCTCCTGCGCGGGGTGTGGCAGAGCGGCGGAACGTCGGCGGGGAGCGCACGGCAGAGGCTTCGCCTTCGCTACGCCCTGCTTGTCTACGCGTACCAGGGCAGGAGGAGCGTGCGTCCCTGGGGGCGGTTCGACTTTGCCTGCGGACGCTGCGGGCGCGGGAGCGCCGAGCCACTCGGGCTCTCGACGTTGTCCAGGTCGACGAGGGTGGAGTCGAAGAGGTCGTCGCGGAGGTCGCGGTAGGAAGAAGAGGAGAAGAAGGGGGAGGAGGAAGAGGAGGAGGAGGAGGGGGAGGAGGAGGAGGAGGAGGAGGAGGAGGAGGAGGAGGAGGAGGAGGAGGGCGGAGGAGGAGGAGGAGGAGGAGGCGGAGGAGGAGGAGCAAGGAGGAGGAGGAGGAGCAGGAAGGAGGAGGAGGAGGAGGAGGAGGAGCAAGGAGAGGAGGAGGGAGGAGGAGGAGGAGGAGGGAGGAGGAGGAGGAGGAGGAGGAGGAGGAGGAGGAGGAGGAGGAGGAGGAGGAGGAGGAGGAGGAGGAGGAGGAGGAGGAGGAGGAGGAAGGAGGAGGAGGAGGAGGAGGAGGAGGAGGAGGAGGAGGAGGAGGAGGGAGGAAGAGGAGGAGGAGGAGGAGGAGGAGGAGGAGGGCGGAGGAGGAGGAGGAGGAGGAGAAGGGAGGAGGAGACAGAGGAGGAGGAGGAGGAGGGCGGAGGAGGAGAAAGACGAGGTGCTGCCCACGCGCCCGACGCTGTCACAGCAAAACCACCATGCCCTTCCAACCTCTCCGACCTACCGTCCAACCGACCTATCCCACTCACGCCCTGACTTTCTCCAAGACTCCCACACTCGACCCTCTCCGAGCGAACCTGGATCACCCCACCTGGACGCCACTACACTGAGGCCACGCCTCAGGGTCGGACCGACCTTACAGCGGCTGCCCGTGTGATCCCGTCGTCTCCGAGCGCATCTACATCCTCACCTCCCTCACCTTCGGCAGTGGACGGACAAATGGCAGCAATACCTTGTATACGGCGACCACCTCACTTGCGCCGCCTATCTCAATTTCGGGGCATTCCTCCCCAAACCTTCACCACCTCGTCCTGCTAACCTTTATCTCCCTCCCTCTTGTGGTCGGGATGGGCGGGGAGAATTGGGGAAGGTGGGGGCTTGGACTCACCGCGAGCCATCCTGGCAAGGGCCAGGGCGGCCGCGGCCGCAACTAGCCACGTGCCAGTGGCCATCACCTCAGCAGCTGCGGCCATTTGGGCACCTCCATCACCACCTCCACCTCCGCCTCCTGAGCATCACCGTCCTTCCACACCCCACCTCCGCCCCCCGTGCACGGTGCGCCACCGCGAGGGGAGGGCCCAGACCTCCCTCACGCTCGAAACCCCTAAGGCGGCCAAGAGACCGACGTGCTGGGAACCCTATGCCTGCTTGCAGGCGAGGGATCCCGCCGTCGGCCTCTGGGACGCCTGTAGGGGACTCCTATGAGCAGAGGGAGAGGCCCTTGGGCCTTTCCTTGATGCTAGCGGCACCCCACAGAGGGCCCCGCGGAATGATCTGCACCCTCCACCACTGCACCTCCTTTTAACTGCCACCGACCCCTTAGCCTGCTCTAGCCGCGTGTGACGCTGCAACTCTTTTCGCCCTACCCCTTGTCAACCGCGCGGGCCGCCGCCCCTCCCCCCCAACGGCCCCCCTCGGCGCAGACCGCGGGGACGGTGCGCTGTCGTCGTTGTGATCGCTGCTATCGTTGTCGTCGTTCGGCGGCGCGCCCAGGGGGGCGAAGCGAGCGGGGGCGGGCCTTCGCAGAAGGCTCGGACGCTCCCCGGCCTTCTGAGGGGTGTCCTAGGCTTTTTCCCCGAAGGCACAGGAGACTTCTCAAAGGCTGGAGGGATTCTGAGAAGCCCCGCGCCTTCTGAGAAGGCCTTCTCCTTCTCACTTCCCCCCTCCTTCGCCGCTGAATCGTTGTCGTCGTTGTCGCTGTGATCGTTGTGATCGTTGATCGTTGTGATCGTTGTGAACGTTGTGGTCGTTGCTGTTGGTTGTGATCGGTGTTATCTTTATCGCTCTTATCGTTGTCGTTGCTAGCGTGGACGGACCGCGCGGTGACGTCGAAACCCAAAGAGACTTCACCGCACACTCCCTCACCCCTCGCAACCGAAGCCTCAAAACCGGGCGGTGACACCGAATCCCTACTGACTCACCACACGGTGTTGTCACCGCACTATTTGGGGCCCTAGAGTGCGGGAGAAAGCGAAGCGAAGCGCGCCCAGTGACCGCCAAGGGCGGAGCCTAAAAGGCCAGCGCGGGTGGGCCAGAGCCGCAAGGGTCGTAATTTGTCAAAGTCGGCGTGGGGAGATCAGGAAGGGAAGGACGCAAGGGGGACTGTTCGTGGTCCAGCGTCGGTCACCGAGAGGTCTGGTCGCACTTATCCGCCAGTGCACACGTCGCAGAGGAATTCGACCATGGACCCCTTGTTACACATCGGCCTTCCGCTGTCTTCGGCGGTCTTCCCGCGATCTTCGGCTACCTCCCGCGGTCCTCGGCGGCTTCCAGCGGTTTTCGGCGGCTTCCAGTGGTCTTCGGCACGAAGCCTGGATGCTTGCGCTCAATTCACAAGGTGTCCATGATCGAACACCTAGGAGGGGGAGGGAAGTTTTGGCTTGCTTTCTGTGCCTTATCTCACCCCCTGCTGCCCTGCTGCCGAGCTGCTCTCACCGCTGCCTCAGAGCCTGCGCAGCTCGCAACCAAGCAAAAAAGGGAGGAGGGAGGAGGAAGTGGCTGGCCGTTTCTGGGCGCGTTTGACCCTTATGGGGCCTCTGGTTGGATGCGGCTGGGAGATCTGAAATGGATGGACCTCGAGAAAATCTGTCATCAACAAGAGAGACAGACAAATCCGCTCAAAGTTGGTCCCCGGACCCCTCCTGGAGCCCATCTGATGCAGCTTTCACCCCAGATCCGTGTTCGACGGTCCCGGGGCCCGAGAACGGCCCCTGGAGGCCGAACAGAAACAGAAACCGCCCCGAAGCCGGAACCTCGGGGGCCTCCGCAGGGGGAACTCGGGGACCGGGAGCAAGCCATGGACGAGGGTTAGGTCGGGCGTGTCTCCCTACAGGCGGATTTTTGACAAAAGATTAAAAATACTCTCAAAAAATTCAAACAAATACCCCAGAAATCATCAAACAAAATCGTCCTTTGACTATTTTACTATTTTTGAACATTCCTCCTGTAGAGGGTTTTGCCCGACTTAAGACGAGGGGGCAGCGGCACGCCTCCCACGCAGCGATGAACTGGTTCCTCGTGGAGACCGCGTCGAAGGCGAGGAAGCACCGGCCCGCGTTGGCACCTGCCGCTCGCCGGGGGCAGCTCACGGGCGCCTCCCGTACCGTCCTGAAGCTCTTGCGAATCGACGCTCATCGATGCTGGTCGACGCTAGATCATCGCTAATCGACGATGATCGACGCTAGATCGGCGGTATTTCCACGATTACCAGACGCTAATCGACGCCAGCGCACTCTGAAGAAGAAATCATTAGGGTATAGAAGGTTCCAATGATTTGCTACCGAACCACTCGGTGACCCCACATCCAAGGCTTTCCAAAAAGATCGTTTCGTCGCCTTCCTCCTTGTCCTCCTGCCTCCCCCCTCCTCGTAACGGAACAGCCGATCCGCATCGCACCATGGGGCCGGCGGGCAATTTCGCTCACGACTCCACAAGTGTGCCCCTGGGACACTCCACTGGCCGATCAAAATCTAGCATTAGGTCGGGCATGTCCCCCTGCAGGCGGATTTTGGGCGAAAGGTGAAAATATCCCTAATATCCTCGAACAAAAACTTACTATTAGGGACCTGCCCGACTTACACGTACAGGGCAGTTTTTAATACATCGGATTTTAAAAAATATCGGATGCTTAATACATGATTACTTTATGAATGCATTTATGCATGAGCTCATCGTTGTTTTTAATGCTAAATCCCTGCATTTTTTATACATGATCCGCACGCGAAGCATGTGTTAAAAACGGCACTGTACCCAGCAGCTGCGCAGAGCGGGCACCGGCGGCCCTCCAGAACTGCGCGGCCCTCGCCCTGGGCGCCCCGCACTCGCCTGGCGCGCGTGGCCAACGAGTGCCACGAGCGTGTGCTGCGGCAGGCTCGCGTCGTGTCGACGCGGCCGCGACCCCGAACGCCGCCCGTGGCCCAGAATCGGCCAACATTCGGCGGTGGACAAACCTCCCTTTCGTAGACCTCCCCTTAATGAAACGGCCTGGGACCGAAACCGACGGACCTGGACCCGCAAAATGACGGCCGCGACGCCCTCTCGCGAACCGAAAACGGCCAATTCCTTGATCGACGTGTCAGGGTAGAAGGTCTGTCCACCCCCGAAATATGGACGACCTGGCAATCGGAAAGCCGCCGATCGCTCAAGGCGGAAGGATCCGCGCGGTGTCAGAAGCCATAGCCGGGGTCGTCACGACACGAGCCTGCCGTACCAGAGCGTAGCCCTGACCTGAGACCTCCCTAGAGTCAGGTCGGGCATGTCCTCCTACAGGCGGATTTTGGAAGAAAATGGGGAACAGTGTAAAAATATCCCCACACACACACAAAAAAAAAAAAAAAAACTAACAAAAAATGGAAATCGTCCCCAGACTAAACTCAGTAAGCAATTAAGAAACCACCCGGGGTTATCATTAGCAACGAACCGTAATTGAATAATTCTTGGGGGTGGTTTTCGCGGAACGATATCTGTAGCACCGCGCAAAAGAAAGGACAATAAATAATTCCCGCGCCTTGGCTGGGGCGGTATTCCAATGGGAATATGTAGGGATCCCCAGTAGGACTCCCCCAATAGGACTCCCCCGTAGGACTCCCCCATAGGACTCCCCCACATAGGACTCCCCCACAGCAGACTCGTCTGCGTTCAGAGCAGTTTCTGAGGATGTCTCAGGCGAGGCGCTTGTTTCAGAACCACACGGAGGCCAGATTGCGAGAATGTTTCAGGCGGTTTGCTTGTTTCGGCGGGCAGACTCGTCTGCGTTCAAAGCAGGTTGCGAGGTGCCAAGGTAACGCTTCCAGGGTGCTGGAGCGTTGTACTTTCGCCGGAGAGGGGGGGGGTCTGAATTGCCTCTCAGGGTTATTTTGCTTCAAACTAGTTTCGAGCATTCCTCCTGTAGAGGGACACGCCCGACTGAACCCCAGGAGCCCCTTCTCCGCGCGAGCGGCACTGCGCAGACATGCAGCAGCGGCCCAGGGGCGCCCGAGGGAGGGTGGCGGAGGGAGGAGGCCGAGGCGCGAGCGAGGGGAGCTCTGAGCTGGATCGAATCGCGGCATCGGACCGGAAAAGGAGCGGATCGCCAGCAGATCGTCCCGAATCGGATGGGAATCGGATCGCCGCGCTCGGCTCCAGCTGGCACCGGCCGATGCCCAGGAATCGAGCCGAATCGAATCGGATCGGAATCGCGGAACAAGCCGGCGGGTCGAATCGCACCGGATCGGATCGCAGGCGGCCCTGCTTCAAGGCCGCAGTCACGAGGAGAGCCGAGAGGGGTGGACGGGCTCGGAGGCGGAGACCGTCGGCCTGGCATCGACGGTGCATCGCCGATGGATCTGCGGCAGGCCCCCGATGGCCGAACCGCACGTCCTTGAGACAAGGGCGGGGAGCCCGATCCCCGATCAGCGACGAATGGTCGGTTGGCGTCAAGTCTTCCTCCCCCGGGCCAGTTCCCCTTCTCGCCGCCCCTGGAGGCAGGCGGGGAGCCGGAGGTCCAGGGTACGATGCATTGATACATAGCCCCCGACTTGGGAGCCCGTGCCCCCCCAGGACCCTGGGAGCAGTGGACATGGGCACCTTCGCGCCCCCCCCAGACTGCACGGTTTCCCCCGGGGCCGTAGGCGACCCGAGGAGGGGGAGGAGGAGGAGGTGGAGGAGAGGGAAGGGATGGAGGAGATGGAGGAGGAGAGAGGAGGAGGAGGAGGAGGAGGAGGAGGAGGAGGAGGAGGAGGAGGAGGAGGAGGAGGAGGAGGAGGAGGAGGAGGAGGAGGAGGAGGGGGAGGAGGCAAGGAGGAGGAGGAAAGAGGAGGAGGAGAAGGAGGAGGAGGAGGAGGAGGAGGGGGAGGAGGAGGAGAGGAGGAGGAGGAGGAGGAGGAGGAGGAGGAGGAGGAGTAGAGAGGAGGAGGGGAGTAGGAGGAGGAGGAGGAGGAGGAGGAGGAGAGGAGGAGGAGGGGAGGAGGAGGAGGAGGAGGAGGAGGAGGGAGGGGAGGAGGAGGAGGAGGAGGAGGAGTATGAGTATGAGTATGAGTATGACCATAAGACGAAGTCTTGAGGAGGAGGAGGAGGAGGAGGAGGAGGAGGAAGAGGAGGAGGAGGAGGAGGAGGAGGAGGAGGAGGAGGAGGGAGGAGGAGGAGGAGGAGGGAGGACGGGTCGCCTAAGCCCTTCGAAGAAACCCTCCACCCAGACCTCGAGACTGTGCGTATCTGCCCCCACCTGGGGCCCTGGCACATCCGTCCCTGGGCGGTGGCACAAGCTCCGGCCTCGGACACACAGCTCGGGGATCTCCAGGGCACGATGGCGCGCTGGGGCGGGCGCGATGGCTCGGCGGCGAGCGAGGGGGGGCAGCGAGAAGGAGAAGGCCTTCTCAGAAGGCGGCAGAACTTCTCAGAGGCCATCTCTAGAGGCCTCCTAGACGGGGTCGGAGTAGATGGGGTCGGAGGATCTCGCCGCATCGCCGATACAGCGGCGATGCATCGGCGATGTATCGGCGATGCATCGGCCATGCACTGGCGACGTCGGCGATACATCGGCGACGTCGGCGTGGAGAAAATTAAGCACCACATCGAGCCGCATCGCCGATGCATCGCCGATGCATCAGCGATGCATCGGCGATGCGGCGCGATCCTCGGACCCCATCTACTCTGACCCCATCGAACGGGCCTAGAATCTCGCGCCTTCCGAGAAGCTTTCTGTGCCCTCGGGGCAAAAGCTTAGAGAACTTTTCGGAAGGCCGGGGGATTTCTGAACCTTCTGAGAAGGCCCGCCCCTTCTCGCTTCCCTTAGGTCGGGCATGTCATCCTACAGGCGGATTTTGGACGAGAGATAAAAACTAGCTAAGAAATCAAAAATCGTGGAAACTAATAACAGAAAAATCGTCCCGGACTGTTTCTACTATTCTTGAACATTCCTCCTGTAGAGGGACATGCCCGACTTCAGCCTTCCGAGCCTTCTGCGCAGGCCCGCCCCGTCTCGCTTCCCCCCCGGGGCTCGCCGCCGAGTGGCAGCCGAGGGGCCCGGCCAGGCACGGCCGCGGCGCTGCCGTCGCCGGCGGGGGTCGCGGTCGCACCCGCGGCGTCGCACGGCAGGTGGAAGAACAGGATGTCGCGCCTGCAGCAGAAGCCGCTGTGGTAGATCTCCTGTGCGGCACGGCGGTGTTCGTCGGGGGAGTAGGCACCCATACCTCTACCCCCTCGCTCGTTTTCCCCTTTTTGGGCCTCCTCTGGGAGGCCCTCGTCGCCACCGGTGGATTCGCCTCGAAATCCTGGTCAGAACGCACCCTGGGAGAGGTCCTGGGGGTAGCGGTATCGGCACCTTGTGGTTTCCCCAGCTCGATCGGATTCATGAAGCCCGAACCCTTCTGATTCCACGAGCCCTGGCGGGTGCCACTGCCCGCAGTGCGAATGCGGTGCGCCGCTGGCTTTGAGCACGGTCCAGTCTTCGGCGTCTCGCCAGCGATCGGTCGCTCATATCTTGAATCGCTGGACTCATGCGATTTAAAGCCAAAGACTGACAGCTTCCCAAGAACCAAACTCACTGCGCCCATACTGTGATCATTGGTTCCTTGTCAATGGCACGGTCAGGAATTGATGATCAACCTTAGAGAGTGGGGACGTGTGCATTTCAACAAGGGACGATGAGCAAGAGGAGTTCTGGCGCACTCACTGTATGACAGCAGCAGCAACAGCAAGGCACCCATCTGAACTTCCGACTTCTATTCTCAGGGCGTCAGCAGCACTCCCACATCTCCCATCAGCACATGCGACGACGCCCACACCATCGTCTGCACTACGGCGGCTACATCAATGGCACGCTGTGCTACAGTGGGTCCGCACAGTGGCCTCCCACCCACTCAGGCTATGCAAGCACTCCCACCTCTGCTACTGACCCATCGGCGGCTCCCACATCATGAGCTGCACACGGAGGCGACACAAAAGGCACGCTATGCCACACAGTGGGTCCACATCAGTGGCGTCCTCACCCACCCATGCTATGCTAGCCACACGGGCGAATGCTGCACCCCACCTCTCGCTGGCATACGCGACGGCGCCCACATCGCGGTCTGCACTACGGCGACTACGTCAACGGCGCGCTATGCTACGCAGTGGGTCCCGCCCCAGTGACTTTCTCACCCACATATGCTATGCAAGCCGGGGACAGGTGAGAGGGATCTCTGAAAACCTCCACGCCCTTCTGGCTCCAACTTCGTGTACATGCCCCCCCACCTTGCGCCCCACTAACCTTCACCTTCCCACGCTTGCGGCGGAAGGACGAAAGGGGCTAGCATTCTAGGCTGGGACGGGACACAGGGATATCGACGGCGATCACGGCAAAGGCCATGGCTGCCGCGGCGTGCAGCCACCACCAACTTCTGCTGTACCTCCTCGTCTCGCCGCCGCCGCGCCTCACAAGCTTCCACTACTCCCGCGCACGAAGGCGGACAGGAAACCAGCCGTCCTGTCTGTTTCCAACCCTCGCTCGCAGCAATTTCCGCCTCACCTCAAAGGCTCACCGTCACACAGGCCCGCCTACCGCAGCTGCTACCCATCACTAACGGAGGGGAAGTGCGACTGCTTGGGCGAGGGAACTACGCGCCACAAGCGAGGCCACCGCCTGGGTGGCTCAAACCTCCCGACGCCTAGTGAACCCCCCTCCGACCCCCCTGCGGCCACCGCGGTGGTCAAGGGTCCCCTTGGTGGGACTGGGGGTCGGGTAGGCGGGGGGTCCCAAGGGCAGGGGAGAGGCCCTTGAGCCACCCGCCTTGGCGAGCGCGACTTCCCTCCCACGGACCGAGCCACCGACCCTGGATGGCACAACCCTCCCAGCGCCCTGTGGAAACTCACACCCGACCCCACAGTCCCCCACTGGGCAGCATGCGACCACCTCGGTGGGCGAGGGTCCCCTTTGGTGGGACTGGAGGTCGGGGCGGCGGGTTTCACAAGGGTGGGGAGAGGCCGTTGTGCCTTCCTTTTTGGGCATGTGTGGCCGCTCCAGGGCCACTGTCACAGCACGCGCCGCTGCTATTCCCACTTCCGACTCATTTCAACTATCGTCAACAGTCGCCGCACACTCCCTCCTCTTCTCTTCCTCAATTCGGCCGATGTCTCTTACATCTTACGGCTCTACCAGCCGGCGACTCCACAGGCTTCCGCCCCTGGAATGGCCTGGCTCCCTGGTTTGATAAACCCCCCACAGGGGTGACAGCCCCTGGGGGGTGGATGGCCGCGTCAGGTTCCCTAAGGATTCCCTAGGGATTCTTGAGTATTCCCTAAGGATTCCCAAGGATCCCCTCAGGATTCGCAAGGATTCCCTAAGGATTCCCTAAGGATTCCCTTCGGGATTCTTACGGATTCCCCAGGGATTCCTGAAGCTCAGGCCGAGAAGGAGAGAGAGGGAGACAAAGGGCCCGACGTGTCCCGAGGAGCTCACCCGCGCTCGACCCAGAGGCAGAGCGGAGAGCTGCGCCTCGCCCGGGAACGACTGGACCCACGGAGGAGCTCCCCACGGCCCCAGCGTCTCACAGAGTCGGCCATATCCCACAGATCCAGGCCCTCCACGGGGTCGGAGTGGACGGGGTCGGAATGGATGGGGTCGGAGAATCGCACCGCATGGCCGATGCCTCGCCGACGCATCGTCGATGCATCCTCGATGCACAAGCGACGTCGGCGATGCATCGCCAAAGTCAAGTCGGCGTGGAGAAGATCGGGCTCCACATCGAGCCGCACACGCGGCGGTGCTGCGGGATCCTCCGACCCCATCTGCTCCGGCCCTATTTGGGAGTCCTGGAGTCTCACAGAATCAGTCCCATCCCACAGAATCGGCCCCATCCCACGGGATCGGTCCTATCCAACGTCTCCGGCCGAAGCCAACAAAGGCCAGCGAGGAGGCACCCCCCCCACGCGGCCCGCCCGACAAAACGAGGACGACGACGACGACGACGACGACGACGACGACGACGACGACGACGACGACGACGACGACGTACGGGGGCACCTGCCATGGGCCTGAGGGGCACCGCGCAGTGCAAGCAGCGCCGAGGGGGCGCTCCTCCTGGAGCGATTCGGCGGTGTAGCGTGGGTCGATGCCCTCGCGGGGCAGAAGGGCTCGGCCGCGGACGCTCCTCCTCCTCCTCCTCCTCCTCCTCCTCCTCCTCCTCCTCCTCCTCCTCCTCCTGGGAAGCAAGCCTCCGCCGTACCGGCGGCAGCTGCTGCCAGCTGTCCCGGCAACGCCTCGACGCTTGTAAGTCGGCGGCGCAGAGGGTCCTCAAGCGCGGGCAGCAGATGAAGTCCTCATTGCGACCGAGCTGTGTCGAGGGCACAGCGTACGAGACGTCGCACACTGTAAGGTGCAAACGATGAGTGGCGTGCCAGAGGGACTGTCATCCCAAACGTAGAGGCATGCAGCGGCCAGAAAACTGAGGAGACTCAACTCAAAGGGAAAACTACTTCGGCACAAACATGCACGAAGGATTGCAAAAAAACCAAGGATTGCAAAAAGGATTGCAAAAAAACAAGGTTTTTTGCAATTTTTTTTTGAACGAAGGATTGCACAAAACCCTTTTTGCAATCCCCTTTTTGCAAACCCAGGGTTTTTTTGCAATCCTCTGTTTGCAATCCAAGGTTTTTTGCAATCCTTCGTTTTTTTGCAATCCTTGGTTTTTGTTGCAATCCCTCTTCGAGAGCGCTGTTCTGTTTTACGCGATCGCGGCTGTTGCCGGCCCCAGCTGCCCCCCTGCCCCCCACCCAGGTAGCGCCACGCCTCGTGCTGACCTCCGACTTGGCCTTGGTTGCTCGTAGGCATTCCGAGAAGGCGCCAGCGCGAAACACGACGTCAGCGGGCCCCCGCCCCAGTCCCAACCCCCCGGCAACGCCCGTGATCGCCTGGGGATGAAAGAAAAAACGTGCTCTTGCTTCTGGGGTTGGGGTAGGTGAGATTGTTGAGGCCTCTTGGGATGGGCGGGCGGCACCATTCAAAGCACACCAGCAGCTGACCTGGACTCTGATACCAGCCCTCCCTTCTCGAGACCTGGTGTCTCCAGGTGCGGTCGTCCGTTCAGAGGTCACTGTGCAGGAGCAAACTCCGTCGGAGCCTCCTGCCACCCGAAGTCTTCCGAGTGCAGATTACAATAAAGCATACTTGATCAGCCCAGATTCTCAACACTCTTCAACTAAGATGCAGACCATCTTTGCCCCGCACGATGCTCCGAATGTTTTTTGTGAACCTTCTCACTTCTGAGTATCGCCTGTATTTCCGACGCAGCTAAATTAGCTGATAGGGATGGGGCGTTGTCGAGGTCACGAGAGAAGAGGTGAAGATTACAATTTGCCGCAGCATATAGAACTGATCAGTGTGCTTCTCTTCTATGCTTATCACCGACTTTTCCGCAAAAAGCTTGCACTTGTGATACGTGTGCTTAATCACCGTTGCAATCTCACGTGCAACTGTACGAGGACCGATCAGTCGAAGTTTAAGCTATACTGACACACAGATACTGAGGAGTAACAATATACATTTTTCCGAATGTGCGCTGACCACGTACAATCGGCCGCAATGAGGGGAAGGTTGAGTTGGGGGTATCATACTTGAAGAGGGTAGGAGGTACGAGGATGAAGTAGTGAGCCACCGCAGTTTCAAGTATACTGGTTGCCAGCCCGTTCTCAGCGCCGATGTGCACAATCATCTGCACACAGACTGATGACATGCTATACTGTAGGCCATTCGTTAACCAGACCATCCCGCCCACGCGACTGTCAGCAGCCTCTGCACTACTAAGTGGGTGACTACCTACCAAACCACCCCAACCCAACCCGAAGACTCGAATTCCGGATTGGGGGTGGTACGGACTTCATATATGATTGTTCAATGCTCCCCGACCCCCCCCCCACAGGAAATGGAGGGCAAATCGGGGCCTTTTCGGTTGGGTTGGGGTGGTTTGGTGGTCGGTGAGTGGGGGGACGGGGAGACAGTAGGCTGGATGAGGCGGGGTGGACAGATTGACAAGTCTCGCCTCCAACAAGCTTGGACGTGCGAGCCAGTGGAGGCAACTTAGCTGTTACTTGATGAGTTACGGTTTGGCACTTCGCGTTTTGCTGCATTACGTGTGAAGTGTAAACACAATTCAAACTAGTGTTGCATATGTCTCTGCCCATCCTCACCACATACACTCCGATATCCATCCACAGTTTGCTGAGAAATCATGTCGCGCGCCGCCTGCCTCGTCAGCATGCCCGGCTGTAAGTTCTAGCCCGCTACTCTGCCCAGCTGTTCAGCCCAGCTCAGCCAAGCTACAGATTCACAGCTTGCAATTCCACTTACCCGCAGTTAGCCTGGTACACCCTTCTTGGAGGTTATGTGGTGAGTGGTGGTCATGGGGGAGAAGGGGCATCGGCTTCAGACAAAGTGCAGCAAGTTTACAGAGACCCCTGACGGCGCGGGACACATCGACAGCAGTGTCAGCACTTTATGCACAGCCTTCCCAGGCTGCATCACTTGTCACACCTTTCAAGTTGTCTAAGTGTGCTCCCTGTCATGGTTGAGCCTACTATCATTCCCATTCCACCCTGAACTACATCATGATGCACTGGGGAGTTGCGCTGTAGATATCAGTTCCCCCTCTGACGAATTACCCAAGCATTACAAATGTCGTGCCACCCCAAAGCTGCGGTCCTGCATTTAGTTACTCCAGTCCTCATGTTGGCAACTCACCAGTTTCAGGTTTGGTTTGCATGGGTTCCCCATCTTATCTCCACTCGCTGCCTGCCTAGTCACCATGTGCCCTGGCGAGCTAGCATGGTCATGCTTTGTTTGTCCTCCCTGCTCCCATACTCGCTTGCAGCTAACACCGAGGCCACAGATCCTAAGTCGGAGATGTCGCTCCATGATCGCCGCGGAGACGCTACGGCTCCTGTCCACCCAAGTCCGAGCAAGGTCAAAAAAGAGGAGAACGACAGTGGCAGAGGGCCGACGAGGCTCGGCGGCGAGCCCGCGGGGGAAGTGAGCAGGGGCGGGCCTTCTCAGAAGGCTCGGAAATCCTCCAGACTTCTGAACAGTTTCCTGAGCCTTCCCCGAAGACACGGAAAACTTCTCAGAAGGCGCGAGGGCCTCTGAGCAGCCCCGCCGCCTTCTGAGAAGGCCTTCTCCTCCTCGCTGCCCCCCCTCGCTCGCCGCCGAGAGGCAGGGGCCGCCCGACAGGGGCCGGCGCACACCAGGCCCCCGCCAGCGGCGCACGCACGGGGCCCCGATCCCGCCCCCCCGCCTGCATCACCAGTGCGCGGTCGATGACGGATCCGCTCGCCTGTGGAGGAGCGGAGCGGAAGAGAAGGCTCGGCATCGACGCTGAAAACGGAATTAAGCGGGCAGACCAGGCTCCCATGATTTGCTACCGAAACTGGGCATCGTTTATCCGATGCCCATCCCCAGCGGCGTGGCCTGGGCCCCACTGGCCGATTTACCCCCGTAAATGGGGATATGGGCCGTTCCCTCCGGGCTTCGAGGGGTGCATCCCCAACCGGGGGGGTAATTCGGTGGGGTCTCGAAGGTGATGAGGATGGGGATGGGGGTCCGTGAAACGATACAGACCTGAAGGGGAGCGCACGGCACTGTACAGCCTCAGCTTGACACGGAGATGCGAAGCAGGGGTGAGGGAAGTGAAACCGGAAGAGGCCCCTGGATCACCCGCAGAGCTGCCCCTCGGATGGAGCATCTCGGAGGGGGAAGGAGGAGGGAGGGGGGCAGCGAATGGAAGAGAGGGGGGCGAAAGAGGGGGAAGGAGGGGGGAAAAGGTGGGAGGGGGAAGGGAGAAGGGAAGGAGAAAGGAGGGAGGAGAAGGGAGAGGGGGGGACAAAGGATGGAGGGGAAGGGGAGAAAGAGGGGAAGGGAAGAGGGGGGGAGAAAAGGAGGGAGGGGAGAAAGGATGGCGGGGACGGGGAGGGGGGAGGCAGCGGGCAAGGGGAGTCGAGGGGGGCAAGGGAGAGCGGAGCGCGACATCATCACCATCATCAGCATCATCAGCAGCATCCTCAGAATAAACGAAAACATCAGCATCAGCAGCAGCATCATCAACAACATCAACCTCATCAGCATCATCATCATCGATCATCATCATCATCAACAACATAACCAGCATCATCATCCTCAACAACATCGCCATCATCAACATCATCATCAGCATCATCAACAGCATCATCAGCATAATCATCATCATCATCATCATCATCATCATCATCATCATCATCATCATCATCATCATCATCATCATCATCATCATCATGATCATCATCATCAGCCTCATCAGCAGCAGCAGTAGCAGCAGCATCCTTATCGTCATCATCATCGTCATCATCATCAGCATCATCACCATCACCATCACCATCACCATTACCATCACCATCCACACCCTCATACTCATCACGGTCTGCGTCGTAATCGGCGTCGTCATTGTCAACAACAG